CTAAAAAAAAAAAAAAAAAAATGGAAAAAACTTTCCTTGGGTGAGCATCATAAAAAAAGAAAGGAACTGTGGGAGCCAATATACTTTTTCAGGAAAATCAGTGTTAGTGGAAAAAGTAATTTTAAAAAAAAAGGTTCACCCAGTCACTTTGCGCTGACTTAAGATCTATGAATTTTCAAGCCAAAGAATCAGGCAGGAGGCTGAACGTGAACTCACACGGAAGCGAGAGGGAGACGAGTCAGGCGCGCAGGCGCCGGGGCCGGCTGGGATGACCCTCCTCGGCTGGCCAGCCCGGGGGGACCTCTGGTTTGGGGTGTGGGTAGAAGGCGTGGCCATGTGGGGGGCATCCCCTGTGGCCGATGCACAGTCCCGGCACCAAGAGGGCTCGGGAAAGCTGACCTACACTGACCCTTTGCCTCGAGTGATGCTCCGCCAGGCGACATGTGACACAGCCGAGGAGGAACAAAGCCTGGGCGCGCTCAGGGTGGGGAGTTAGAGGGGAGCGTGCGGGCCCTGAGGGGGTCCTGGGTCACACACGGCCGGTTTCGGGCCTCGGGCTAGTTGAAACGCAGCCTCGGCACAGTTACCCGGCTTAGAAGGTCCTTTCCCGGCCTTCTGCTCCCTGGGGGCAGTNAGCCCGGCGTGCACTGGTCGCTGCAGCCACGGCACAGTTACCCGGCTTAGAAGGTCCTTTCCCGGCCTTCTGCTCCCTGGGGGCAGTGGTCTCCAAGGCGGGGTGGGGGTCCGGCCGGCCGCCGAGCTGCTTACCCTCTGTGGGTGAACTGAACTTGGTCTCGTTGACGAAGGTGGACAGGTCCGAGGGCTGCGGGTAGTCCTGTTTGTCTGCCTCCAGGTCCACGGTCATGCACGTCCACTTCTGGTTGGTGACCGCCAGCTTCTCCTCGTCGGTCGCGTGGACCACCGCGGAGATCACCGGCGGCGCTTCGGGGGTCGCCGCCGGAGTGGGCTCCTGCAAGGAAAAGGGGAACAGTCTCTCCTCTGGTCCTGCCTCTGTGTCCGAAACCCCCCACCCAGGCGTCCAGGGCCCGCGCACTAGGACAGGTCCCTGTCGAAACGCCCCGTGTCCCTGGGCTCTGCTCAAAGTGGTCCCGAGGACATCAGTTCTGTACTCTACGAATTTCCTTTTCTGGTGGCTCGTTTCAGGGGGTGACCATGGGTTTAAAAAGAACTGGGATTTGGGGTCTTGGTTACTTAAGATGTTCTGGCTTTTTCATGTCGAGAAAGACCAGGAAGTTTTTACTTCCGAGGATTTTATCACTGCGGCCACGGTGCTGTGCCCACATGTCACTCGCTCACTAGCACCTGACAGCCTCAACCGTCATTGGGGACAGAGAAAGGGGGCTCATCTCCATCCCCACAGGGGGCGGGCAGGGCAGGGCGGGGGCCCAGGGATGTCAGAGCAGAGCTGGGATGGGACTGGGACCTGAGACCCCTGTGCTGGGACCGAGGGCCTCTCCCCGCAGCTCCCGCCCTGCCCGGGGTTGGCTGCTGGGGCTTCGCTGGCTCAGACTGGGAGTGGGAGCATGTTTGGACCTCGAGTGGCCTGGACACTCGCCATAGGATAACCTTCCTTGGTCTGTGACCCCGGAGAAGACATGGTTCACATCTGGCAGAGGCTGGGACTCGCATGAGGAGAGACGGGCTCCTTTATCTCCCCACTCTGGTTACAAAGTCCAGTGCTCTTCTTACGTTCATTTTTTTCTCACTTTATATTCACTTATCTCAACAGACTTCCCCAACCTCATATTTATTCATATACATTTTCAGCAAATTAACTGGTCCGAGTGGACCAGCACGATTCCTACAGGTTCCTCTAGAAAGTCCCACCGACATTCTCCTGAATATCTTTCTACTCCCGGGACACACCCTGACCTCCCCTCAAAGTGAAGGGACCAGAACGGTGTCTCGGGAACACCGAGAAACGCTCCACGTAGGAGGCAAGGAGAGGGCGCTGGGAACGTGGCCGGGTGAGCAGAAGCTCTGCTGACCGGCAGGGAATAAAAATCACCCGCCTTAACCCCCAGCGAGCAGTAGAGTCGTAAACACCAAGGCAACATCGTACCTGAGAGGGTGGATCAGAGAGGGGAGACCGCTTTGGCGACTTTTTCACCCTAAACGTGTCACTGGAAACAAAATGGGAAATGTGAGCACAAACAGGCACAGAACATTCCAGAGCACACAGAGCAGACCGAAGCCACCGCCTCTGCTGCGCATCTGCCCAGGCCACCCTGCCGGCCGCGCCCACCCGCCGGCCCCTTCTGAGCCTGTAACAGGTGTCACTGCTGCCCCGAGGAAAGATTCGTAGAGCTGGGAATCTTTACAGAGATGCCATGTTGGAGGGCTGACCCGGAACATCAAGCCAAGTTTAACCAGATGTGCTTATTTCCCTTATTTTACAAAGCAAATTTCGGCCTGGCCAGTGTGGCTCAGCGTCGGCCCAGGAACCAAGAGGTCCCAGGTTCGATTCCCGGTCAGGGCACAGGCCCGGGTTGCAGGCTCGATCCCCAGTAGGGGCCTGCAGGAGGCAGCTGCTTGATGGATGTTTATCTCTCATGGATGTTTCTCTCTCTCCCTCTCCCTTCCACTCTCTAAAATCAATAATATGTATATTTTAAAAAGCAAATTTTGAGTGAGCAGATTAATAACGTATCCTGGGATTCATCTAGGAATGTCTGAACCCACGACTGTAGAGGGAGGGATACAGGTTCCTGACACCAACGGACAGGATCAGATTCACAGCCGAGAGGTCGACACGTCACTTAATGGACGACACCGGGGCTGAAGAGACGGGGAGAAGGTCCGGGTGCTCGGGGAGACCCGGCAGACTCCTGCCTACTCCCAGGAA